ACTGCCACGATGCCATTTCTGAGCCGAGCCAACCCTCTGCAAACTGTTTGTCTGCTCTGCTCTTTGAGGCTTGCTATTATTATGATTATTTTAAAACTCTTAAATTTCTATTGTTGTTTTCTGCTAGTTGCAGTTCATGCAAACCTCCCCACCCCGGGAATTGCATGCTTGAAGGGTAGTTATTTCTCAGACACTGGAGCCGATAAACACTTAAGAGATATTTAGATAGAAGACAGAGTGTTTCCATGACCCAGTTTCTTTGGAGCCTTACATAGATCTCCAGTTCTAACAAATGGATTCACTGCTTCTAAGTTGGGATGACTTTTTTTTTTTAATTTAATATGTTCGAGGTGGTACAGGTGATATGAGGGTTTAAATACGTTTGGTGGGGTGTGCACTTTCCTTGAGTATTTTAAAGGAGTATGATGAGTGTTGCGTGTGTGTGTGTGTGTGTGCACGTGTGCGTGTAAGTGTGTGTGTCGTACCAAGCTACTTCAGAATTTAGGGCTAAGATTTCTGCCTTCTCCTGGGCTTGCATGTTTAGTTTGTTTTCTTAAATATGCTGTGAGTTTTGGGGGTACTTAAGACAGAGCTTTTGAAGATGCCAGTTGACTCTGTTGTTGAGGAAACTGGATATTGACATTTGACTAAAATATTATCTGAGGTGGGGAAATTGTCAATGCAGGACCCGTCCAGAACTTCCTGCAGACTAATAGCAGGAATCCATGTTGTAAGCGTTCCGTTCTGATAAGTGTCTCAGATGCCTTTTGAGTATGGATTGCCAAGGAATTAACGTGTGGAGAAGGTCTCTGATAGACATGACATCATAGAATCTATGAATAATGCATTATGCAATATGCTGCGAGCACCCAGCCTCAGCCATCTGCACTGTAGTGCTGCACCGTCTTTGAAATAATGGCTCTTCTTGAAGCCAGAAACCACGCAGAACCGCACAAATGTAAATGGGAAGTGTATGTATATGTGTTTGCATGCTAGATGATTCTAGCCTAGTCTCGTAGGAGTTTTTGTTTGCGTGGAACTAGACTCTTACCCAGTTTTCTCCCACAGCGTAATTGTCATCATTCTCTTCAAGGCCATCGTGTTCTGGCCCTTGAGTGTGATGATCAGCAGATATCAGAAATAAATATTGCAGCAGAGCCAAATACGGACTGCCTATGCTTTGACCATGATCCCCCCATTTCCTAGCTGGGTGACCCTTACAAGTTACTGTGCCTCAGTTTCCTCACCTGTGAAGTGGGGATAATATTAACCACATCAGAGGGTCATCATGAGAACTGAATGATTTAACCCACGTAAAAAGCTCAGAACGGTACCCAGCACATTGTAAACAATTTGTGTTTATTATTGGCTAATGATAGATTAATCTGAAGACACGTTTATTGAAAAATAAGTATTGTGCCTGCAAAACTCAGAAGATCTAAAATGTTTTCAAGAGTCCAAGAGGTACAAAAACATTTTTTTTTTCATTGCAAAAATGTTTGACAGTTGACTACACAACAACAAAAATAAACAGAGCTGGACAAAATCGAAGCAACAAATGTCATCACTAACAGCTCCTTACTCGCTTGCGTGATCTTAAAGCTGCTAGAAAACCGTGCGTAACTTTTTTCCCACCTGTGCATTCCAAACCTACCTTCTTGTGTAAAGAAGGTAGATAAGCTGCCTTCTTTAATGGAAACTTTTATCAATGAAAAAGGAGTCTTTGTGGCTCCAAGTGCCACGAGTTGGGAAGCTGTGAACTCTATGTTTTGCTTTATTCTTAAGTTCAGAAGGAAACCTGCTTGCTATGGAGAAGGGTTATTTCTTTCTCCTACACGTTATTGGACTGATTATAGCATTTAAAGTGAACTGAGATGGCTTCGGAAACCCTTACTTACATGTATCAGAAAATAGCGGACATCTCCTGAGCAGGAGACAGACCCTGAGTAATGGACATGCCCCGAGTGAAGGGGCAGTCTCTAGGGTAGTGCCCGTTGGAGTGGATCTCTGCTCAGTCTCATTGGAGGTTGGAGATAATGACTTGGAAAAGAGAAACACCAGTAAGTGAATGGAGTAGGCAAATGCTGATCTATCCAGAGCTACTATCTATATCAGTACCAATCAAGAAGGACTGAGAAAAAAAGACATAACCTAAAGCCTTAATCAAAATGGAGAGACAGTCAGGTTCCATCCAGCAGTTCTTTAGCTGAGTCACCTTGGATGGGTGACCGATTTTACCCTCTGAACCTTTATTTCTCAGGCTATAAAATAAGGGGACTAGATCAGATCAGTGGATTTTGAATTGTAAAACTTTTTGTTCATATGAAAGTTGGCCAGAAACCTAATATGCCAAATGATTAGTGTATGAAATAAAGGGTGGGGGAAGGTAGCAGTTGTCTGATGGTGGGGCCAGCTCACTTATCTCTCAGTTAACCAGGAGATCTGCTTAACCAGAGCACTCTTTCAGCTAAATGAGAAATCTACCTAGTGTATTTATTTGCATGACAGAGTGACCATGAAAACCCAAATGTGGTTTGGTTTATTATTGTAAAGGATGTCAAGAGCTTTGGAATCCTTTCAGACCAAGGTTGAAAACTTATGGGCCCATCATTGGTTCTGCAACAGCAAGAGAAGTTTGCAGCCGCCTAAGAATTGTCCCTGGAACAGGGAACTTGTTGTCTCACCATTTATTTACTTAAGAGATCTGCTGGGGAAATGGAGTCAACTGTCAAACTGTATTCTCCCGGTAAAGAACAGAAGAGTAAATTAGTGAAATGCTTGGCAGAATGAACCCTGTTGCAGAAGTTTCTTATAATAATGACCTTTTGATTTGATTTATACTTCGCTGGGAAGAAACTCAGTGTTCAGAAGCTTGCCATTCTAGCCTTTGCAAAGAGGGCAGGGAGCTAATTTAATATCCACGAACTGAAGATTCACTTTAGAGAAGCGTCAGGTCCATTTGTGATGTGTTCGCGTGAGCTTGTTTCTCAATTAAAGGAATGGATTTGTCCCAAATCATTCCCGTACATGCTCCATCACCAATGTGTATTAAGACACAGCTTTCCGCCAGGCTCCTAGCTTCGCTTTATTTAGCCCAAATCAGCGGGCCAGTGTCTAAATTCCAGGTAGCTCTCCCAGAAGTTGGGAGACGGAGCCTCAGCTGCTTGAGAAATGAAAGCACATGTTGTCCACCAATGGAACGTGAGCGATCGTGGAAGCTGAATTACTGTTAAGTCCAATGTATTCTGATACATGTATTTCCCTCCCAAAAAAACATTTAAAACTGTATGGCCCCCTAGTTATAATATTTGCAGTGATTCACATTTATAAGGTTTTTTTCATTTATCCTTTCAAAGTGATTAGCTTGGCTGATTTCTTAATTTAAAGCTTATTTTTCTCCCAGCTTTCAACCTTTCTGTATAGAAACATGTCTCTACTTTGAGGAAAAACAAACAAAAAAAAGGCAATGGAGAAAAAAATGTCAGCTCTAAAAATAGTTCACCCCCAGATCATTATTTTAAGGAAGGGAAAAGAAGAGCTAACATTTGCTGTGAGCTCCTAGGCTCCTGGCTGGCCTCCTCTTTTAATCCTTCTGAGAACCTGAGAGATAGGGGGTCATCTTTATTTTACACACAGAATTTTGCCCGTGGTCACACAGTTCGAAGGGGCCAAACTGGGTTTGGAACCTGGGCCCCTCCAGAGTGACATTCCATGGTTTTTCCTTCACTCTAGGAAGGGGCCAAGTTCTGTAGAATGAGAGATATTTGTGTTGTCACTTCCTCCTTCAGGCAAGCAGCCAAGTGTGTTAGTTGGAGGTCCCCTGTCCCCTATCCTTTAGTCAAGAGGCATTTTAGGTGTCTTGAGTGAGAGAGTGTAGCAGAGGTGCAGGTACAAAGATTAATTCATTCATTCATTCATTCATTCATTCGTTCATTCTGTACCTATAGGAACAGTGTAATCCTGAGCCATATTGGAGCCTGGGGCAAAAGAAAAACATCAGTAATAGTGATCCTGCCTTTATTTAAAATTTTGGTGTTTTGCTCATTATGGAATGTCTTTCGTTAATTTTGATTTTTCAAAATATGGTACGAAAGTAGCATTTATCTTGATGCCTGAGTGTTTTGAGGCAACCCCCTTAAATTTTGCACGCGCAGCCAGTGCCTCCCTTTCCCCATCCCCGTCCTGGCCCTGGTACGTACTTTTATATGTGTGTCAGGCAATGAGCTATGAGCTGGAGATGCAAGATAGAGATTTATGGGGCGGCCTGGCCTACCCCATCGGCCCACGACCCCTTCTCAGGCTGCCAGTATTGCCGCTTCTCTTTTTTTTTTTTTAGCTGAGCCATCCCGCCACCTGTTGGCAGCTCACGGCTGCTCAGCTCGGGCTGACTCGAACCGCTGTTGCTCAGAGCTCAAACTCTTGAGCGAGCTCTTAACCAACTGAGCCACTCAGCCGGCCCTTGCCGCTTCTCTTTTTAAAAGGAAACACTCTTGTTTGTAAATTCTTAGACACTTGAGAATAAAACCCCCCTTTTCTTCAAAAAAAAAAAAAGATTTGTGGGAGCTTTCAGACTAGTAAGAGTCAGTTGTGCAAATAGTCGCAACACCTCAGCATAATAATGATAAGACTGTGCACAAAGTGTAGTGGAGAAGGAGTCGCTGTTGAGCCCAGGTGCCTGGCAGGAGGGCTTGAGCGGGACCTGGGGGCCGCCTGTGGTTGGCCCGTGCACAGGTAGGCGAACGATGTAAGGGAATGTCCTTTCGCTGCTCTGAGCCTCAGTTTTCCTAACCTGTAGATGGTAAATGGTAGCATGTACTTTATGAGGTTGTTGTCAGGACTAGAATGAGTTCACTGGGTTAAGAGCCTAGAATAGATTCCGGCACGGAACTTCAAGTCTGTTAGCCACAGTGGTGATGATGGCGACGAGGACCATTATAGGCAGATATTTTTGAATGACAGCATCTTGGGGCCGCATACACAGTCTGAACTTTGCTTTGCAGACATCCACGACAGTGATGGGAGTTCCAGCAGCGGCCACCAGAACCCCAAGGGCACAGCCAAGTGGGCGGCCTCACTGGAGAATCTGCTTGAAGACCCAGAAGGCGTGAAAAGATTCCGGGTTTGCCTTTTTCATTGTTGGAGGGATTGATGCAACATGTGAAGAAGCTGAGATGTGTGTGTGTGTGTGTGTGTGTGTGTAGGGGGAGTGGGGGGAAGCGCCGGCCAGTTAACACTGCCCCACCTGGAGAATAAGAACTCACCTGTGGTGAATGAGATGGAAAGGCTTTCCTGGATAGTCATGGACCAGCATCAAGGGCACGCACAGACCGTTTCTGGGTTTTCTATGGCTGGATGGGAAGGGGTGGGGGGTGGGGAAGAGGTACTGTGCTCACTGGCAAAGTCTACAAAGAATGTCCAGCAGCTCTGACACCTGGGAAGGGATGGTCTGGATCTCTCTGATGTGATGGTTTGTTCGCTTGTGTGTCGGGATTGTTAACAGGATGAGACAGGCTGGACGATGGCTAGCAAACTGAAGTTGAACTCAAAGAGGAGGCTAATGGATGGGGAAGTGTTGGTGCTGCCTAGAAATAACTTTTGTGGCCAGCAGCAACCCCAGGTGTTACTTAGAAGGAGCACGTGTGAATTTGAAGAATGCCCTGTGTCTTCCTGAGTTCCACCATCTGTCCTTAAGTATTGGGTCAGGCCAGGATAAGCCCTCGGTCGTGCGGCCCCCAGGGAGGGGGCAGTGGGCAGGGCTAGTGACATTCCTGGACCCCAGGCCACTGTGAGCTCCATCTAGATCTCAGGAAGGGCAATAATGTGCACAGCAGAACAGACACTTTTCTGGGCCACTAACCCCCCATTATCTGCCAAAAAGGAAATATACACACCTCCAACTTAAAAATAGTTTTCATCATGGCATTTTTGGACATGCTTAATATGTTTTCTTTTCTTTTGTTTAAAAAAAATAGGCCTGATTTTAGAGGAATGTACTTTGTTTAAACACTGTCTGGAAGGAACTAAAACATCTTCCACTTTAATTTACTTTTTGGTAATTTATTGTAAGCTTAGAACTGTGAGGAGATGCTTGCTTCATTTTTATTCTTCCTTCCAATGTCAAAACCATTAAGTTGAAATGCATATGAAATTCTAGCTTTAACATTAAACATAAGCTTTGTTTTTCAGGATGGAGTTGTCACAGGGTGATCAAATCATGCTCATTTGTTGAATTTTGCCAAATCAGTCCTTGAAGGGAAATGCATTGTTTATTTGTTTTTTTTAATTAGAATACTATTTGATATTTTTTTCTTCTCTGTATCCATAGGAATTTTTAAAAAAGGAATTCAGTGAAGAAAATGTTTTATTTTGGCTAGCATGTGAAGATTTTAAGAAAACGCAAGATAAAAAGCAGGTATTTCTTCCACTGTTTCATCACCTTCTCAATCATTTTTTTCCCCCCATAAAGTTACAGCTAGCTGCCTTTCCAGTAGATTTGAAATTGTCTAAAGAAATCTGATCCATACTGGATTTGGGGGAAGATTTAAGCCTCAGATAAGGCATCCCATGTTGCTCAAATATTCATAACTTTAAAGAGTGTGTTAATCCATTTTTAAATGGAGCTGTACAAATGGATAAATATTTAGAGTAAAAATAACAATTTGTGTCGTTCAGAGTTCATCGTCATCTACGATGTTTTTCCTCATGAATAAGTGATGAGGATGCTTCACCCGGAGTTTGACATGGTGGCATTTTGTACGGAGGTAGTGCAGCGATAAGCAGATGTGGCGATAAAAGCAGAGTGGGCATCAGATGGATTGTCAATTATTCAGTATATCTTTACGAAACACCCTGGGGTTGGCAGGCATCCCACATAAAACGTTTCTGACTGTTCTCCTGAGTAGATGTATGCTGTTTGCAGGAGGCAGCCTTTAATTCTGATGTCAGCCAAGTTTTCTGCCGTGGAAGGTTGGGTGTAAAGGGAGGTGGCAGAGATTATGGGGAAAGAGGCCTGTGCCTGCATATTGCTAAGAGGTTACCAGCTAAATGCCTACAGGGTAAGTAATGTGCATCAGTGAGACTTGTGGTGTGAGGCTGTAGGGAGTGGTGGGGACTGGGGCCATCGGGGGTAGCTGCCCTGCTCCCAGGGGCTGCAGCTGGTTGTTGAGCTGACTTTGGCAGTGAACGCTGCGGGGTCAGTGGCTGTCTGGGCTTTCCCTGCTTCCAGCTCTGCCCACCTAGGGCTGCGCTTGCCCCTCTCGCCCCAGAACACTGAGGGGGCCTTTTTTCCTAAGGCTGTTGCTCCTATCGTCAGCCAATGCTACCTATTTCTTCAGAGCAGTTGGAGCCTTATGTGAGCTCATCTGATTTTATAAATGTTAGAACTAATTTTTTTAAAAAAATGTTAAACCTTTTCTGCCAACCAAAACACATCCATGGGCAGATGTGGCCCTGTGGGCTGCCAGTTACTGAGCATCTCTCTCCAGAAGCTGGAATCCACGAGATCAGTTTGCAGACAACGGCTTGGAAAATGTTCATCATTGGTTTATTTAAAGACCCTTGTGGGTTCAGACACACTTTCCCCAAGGTGGAGCAGTGTGGCCTTCCTCTCTGTAGGGGCGAGGATGGGTTCTAACATAGGTTCCCTTCAGCGTGAGTTTCCTAGGTTGGCATAGAAAGCCACCTGGAGCATGGCCCTTGGCATTCACTTCCTTTGGCTCCTTCTCCCCGGATGACTTTGCCTGAGCCTCCTGGGTGGTGAATGGCCTCCGAGAGCAGCGGGGAGGGCCTGCTTTAGAAAGCTAGGATGCTGGCTGCAACCCTTCAGGCAGGGGTACCCATTGTCCTCCTTTGCCCCCAGCAACCAGGACAAGGCCCAGGGATAGCCTCCCATAAATGCTGGGCTGTGCAATTGGTTGGTCCAGCCTCACCCTAAAACCCTAGCTCGGAGTCGAGCAGGCGAACAGATAGGTGTCCATTCCTCTGCCTTATTCTTTGCGTATTAGAGGTGAGAGGGGCCTTTGGGTTGGCCTGCCCACCCCTGCATTGGACAAACCAGGAAGTTGAGGTCCCCCCGCCGCCCAGCTGGGGCTTGAGCCGGCACTCTGAGGGCGCCTAGCCATTTTCCCGTGTGCCATGCTGGCGTGCCTGTCAGTTCGGTTGAGTTCACCAGATCTTTGTGGAACGCCTGCTCAGGGCCAGGCTGGAGAAAAGCACGGGAGGCACACGGGGACAAGACAGATGAGGTTCTTTGGGGGACAGGCATCGAGAGGGGAAGCTGCTTGTAAAGCTTTGCAGATGTGACGAGTCTAGAAATGGGAAGTGCAGGTTCTGTGGGAGCACAGGCAGTGGGCAGCCTGGAAAGCCCCCAGGGAAATGACTTATAAGCTGACATTTGAAGCGGAGTTCTGAGGGTGGGTTTTGTGTTCCTGGAAGAGGGGTCAGCCTGGGGAGAGGAACTCCTGGAGAGAAGAGCTGAATGAGGACCAGATGGCAGGAGGGTCGTGCTTGAGGGGCAGCCTGGCTCTGCTGTGCTGGAGGCTGGCAGGCAGGTGGGGCCACTTCTGGAGAATCCACGCCCAGGTGGATCCTGGAGAGCCACGGTGGTGGATTGCACCGGCCCATCACATCCTATAGACAGAGCTTCCATAACCTGGCAGCTGCTCTCTGTACCCCCACCCTTGACACCCAGCGTATGGCTCCTTGAAAGCTTTGTGTCCTTCAGCCTGGAAGGTGCCTGGTGATTACTTCAGTGCAGTGAATGCTGCCTCACCGTCAACTGCCTGAGAATGCAGATGGTGCTGGAAGGGAGGAAGCGTCCATGACGCCCGTGGTGTCCAGGCCTCAGCTTGGGTGATCACACTGAGCCTCATGGCTACGCCCCTCCTTGCAGGCGCTGTGGTTGCAGAGATGACACATCAGCTTGGTGCAGACAGATCCAGGATGCAAACAGTGTCTTTGACTCCAGGACCTGTGAATTCTCCAGCCGGCCTGGCTCTAGGAGAAGTCAAACCAGGAATAAGTTCTAAGTCACTAATTTAAAAATGCAGAATAGGACAGAAGCACGGGGAAAAGTCGGCCCAACTGAATTTCACAATCAGGCTTATCGCATTAGGTCCAGCATGGAGTCTGTCGAGGGTTTATCTCTACAGTGAACTAAGGCAGTTGTGGGATTGATGCTAACCTCACTTTTGGCTCCATTATTTTAAATAGGACCTGTGCTGGTTTGTCTTTCATTCTTTTACTAGGATTATCCAGCCAAATCTCTCCATAGCATTTACCAACTTAGCTGAACTCTTGTGTAATTTCTCTGTTTATCTACTGTACTGTTTGCTTTTCCCTCTGTCATGCGGACTCCATAAGGTTTGAGATCTTTGTATCTGAGTGCCTGGAACAGTGCCGGGCACGCTGTACCTCTGGTTCTTTCCAATCAGGTCAGCTCACACCTGAGTTTCCACCGTGGGTGAGGTCCTGGCCTCCTTCTCGCCTTGTGGCTACAGTCGCAGCCTTAATGAGTCCATCCTGTTGGGGATCATATTCTCAGAGGCTCCAAACAGTAGAACTGTGCTCTGTCTTCTCTGTCCTCTGTGGTTTGTGATTTGCCCCTTGACAGGAAAGCAGTCCCTTAATTTGGGAGGGTGTTGACACTGTGCATTTATGGTGGGAACGCTGGAGCTTTAGGAGCCTGGGAGGGTGATACCCCCACCCCTCCCTCCTTGGAGTTCCTGGGGTGGTTGTACCTTCCAAGTGTTCATATTCCGTAGTCAGCTTTCAAAGCAGTTTGCTCTATTTGTCCTTTTTTTATGGTTTAAAATGTTTCTATAAAGCACCTCTTCCCCATGAATTAGCACGTGAGATATAACTATCTTCTAACACAACGCAGCATTTATGTTTTATAAAACCTCAGAAAAAGCTCCAACAAGATGTTCATTCTTTGGCTACCCCTGGATTCATTCATTCATTCATTCATTCCTCAGCACACTGGGCCAGTTTACTATGTGACAAGGATTGAAATGGATATGGAAGCCTGTACAGATTTGTAAAGACCAAACTGTGAGTGGGGGTGGGGTGGTGCAAGGCTTCTAATAATCATAGCTCTGAGTGACTTGCACTAGTGTTACATATAATAATACCTTGCATTTTTATAGTGTTTTAGAGTTAACAGAGTTACGGGGAAGGGGGTCTATTACAGTTACTATTTTTATTATATTTTACTTACCACTAAAACTTGATCCAGGATTTTAAAGTGTTTGATATTCTTATTTAAAGTAATAGTAAAGATTTTCCTAAAAGGCTGAAACACTACCTTCTTTATTATTTAAAAAAAAAAATCCAAAACTGACACATGCTCCTTATGTGAAATTCATTCACTTCACAAAGTGGATGGAGTAGACCTCAGCACCCTCAGATTTCACTCTCCCTCCGATTCGGGCTGTGTCTTCCCCACCTTTGCCTGTCGCCGTGGACTTGGCCCGGTCCAGGCCGGACCTGATCGGAGCATGGCTGCTGTCGGGTGGTCTTGGGCCTGGCGTTGGCCTGCTCTGCGCCTCGGTTCCTTCTCTGCTCTCTTTATCACTTTTAAATGTTTTCTGCCAATTTCCTCTTACTGGAACTGAGGTTCACTTACTTAGATCCCTGTCTACTGCCTTTTCATTATGAAAATATTTATTGTTTATTATTTGCTGCTGAGCTGAAGAGGATGCTACAATTACATTTTTCTTCTTGGATCGTAGTTTGCTTTTCCTATTTTCGATATGGTGTTGCACGGGCTCAGCCTCTCAGCTCATCTCCGTATTCTGGGTTCCCCTGGGGACAGTCCCCCTGGGGCCGTCTGGTCACAGCTCCTACTGCGGTGTCCCCCAGGTCTTCCTTTGCCACCACTGGCCATTCCTTTGCCCCTTTCCTGCTTTCTGGACCCAGGTCCTCCTCATCCTGAGTCACTGCCTCATTGTAGTGGAGCATGGCCTGCAATAGCTTCTTGGAAAAGGGGACATGGCAGATAGATGTTTAAAGATCTTGGTGAGTGAAAATGTTATTTTATTCTTACTCTCCCACTTCAATGATAATGTGACAGAGCATAGAACTGAATTGAATTCTAGGTTGAAACTCCTACAGAGTCTTGAAGACATTGTCCCATTGTCTTCTATGTTTGTTAAGAATTAGTATTTTATATGTAAGTTGATTTGTTTTGTTTTCTTTGCTTTTTTTCTCTCTGGAATAGTGGAGGATCTTCTTTTCATCACCAATATTCTAAAACTGCACAGTTAGAGGCTTTGGACGGGGCGGGGTTCATTCATCGTGTGGGCATTTTAGAGAGCCTTTCAATCTGGAAATTTATAATTCTGGGAAACGTTCTTATGTTATTATTATTATCATTATTGTTTAGTAATGTCTTTCTCCCGTTTTCTCTGGTCTCGGGCCTCCTTTCCTGGACTGAGCCCTTGATTTTACCTTTTTCTCTCCTTTGTTTTCCTCTGTGATCATTTTGGTTCCTACTTTGGAGATTTCCCCTTTATCATTAAATCCTCCGGTTGCATTTTTTTCTGCTTTGTTTGTTTGCTTGCTTTCTCTAGACTAGACTCTTTAGACTCTTCCTGGTGGTGACAAGCCTGATGTTATGTTTATAAACTAAACACATCTCCAATCAACTGGACTGGGAAAAGTTTGCTGGGGAGTTTGTATGTGCAGGTGCACTTATAGCCCTTATACTGTTTGGCATCTCATCCTTGGCCCGCTTCGTGCCTCTGTTCAGCAGCTTCCCTGAGTCAACTTCTTTACAGAAGAAAACTCCAGTCTGGAGGGAGGAGGGGAAGGGGGGAGAGGAGGAGGGGAGGGGAAGGAGATGATCACCTGAACGCTCGGAGTTGGGGAGTCGAGGACCTGGGGGTCTTAAGGGCTTGTTTCTGCTGCCCTCCTCGTCTCTTCCATCAGGGTTACCGATGCCCCCGAGTTCCTGCCATTTTTGGATGTTTCCTGTTGGCACCACTTCCCCAGCTGTGCAGGTGCTTAGGTTTGTTCCTGCTCTCTGTGGAGTCACTTGCTGTCCCTCCAACTGCTTTCCACTTCCTGAGCCAGTTCTCGGAAATATTCTTGAATCATTTGCTTGCTATTTTCTTTGTCTCATTCTCTGTCTGAAGCGGATATCAAAAGGGTAGTGACTTGATCTTTTACTTTTCTTAGGTGTCCGCTCCCATTTTCCATCTCTGGCAGAGTGACGGTCTGCTCAGGAGGCAAAGCGAGCAGAACTCAGTGACAGGCAGGGTGTGGGGGTGAGGGAGGTATCGGGGGTCCCTCTTCCCAGCTTCCTGGAATAGGGACTGTAGGACCCACCAGCCAGGAGGGGGCCACTTCTTTCCTTGGTATTTGAGGTGTCTGTGGGACATCCAAGCCTACATTTCTAGAAATCAGTTGGCTTGGGGAAGTTGGGCTGAAATCTGGGGATGTGGTTAGGATAGCAGTCAGGCTAGAGCAGAACTCTGAAACCCCAGAATTTATGGAGGGGACAGACGGACAAGAGTCGGCACAGGAGACAGAAACACGGAGGCACTGGAGAATCCTGAGAGGGCAGCAGTGGTGGGCAGGGCTGGGGCTGGAAAGCCGCCCAGAGGAAGGTCTGAGGGACTTAACCAGGTGGAAGACATCAGCGAGCTGAGGAGAGGCCGTGCTGCAGGTGGGCAGCCCAGACTGAGTGGGCAGAGAATGGGCGCGAGGGAGGAAGTGGAGGCCGCAGTGCACGGTGGTCTTTTGTGATGTTTCAATAAGAAATCAGGGGGTGGGGAGGTCATTAGCTCTAGGGGGACATGGAGTCAAAGGAGGTTTTGTCTTATTTTCCCAATGGGAAAAGTTTAAGCGGTGCTTGTTGGATGAGGGAGAGGAACCAGAACATACAAAGCAACGCTCTTCTGAGCTTTGGAGGGCTGATGCCTTGGCCGTTCTTTTAAGAAGGTTTCTGTGTCTGGGGCTGAGGTTAAAGTGCATTTGCTTCTCCTAAACATGCACTTGCTGGAAGCAGCAGCTGAGTGCTGACTTCTGCCTGAGCATTGTTATGGCTGATGCCAGGCTGGTAGCAAGATCCCAGACTCGTGGGTGTCTGGGGGGAGCTCCTATGGGTTGCAAATGCTCCCACAAGCCGTCCTCAAGTTGGTGCCAGGAGTCATCACACGGGCCTCAGTGAGGTCCTTTTCCAGCACCTTCTGGGGCAAGGTGGGGTGCCAGGCACCTTGGCCCTCCACAGGAGGCCGGAGAAGAGGCCGGCCATCCTTCCGGATCACATCCAGAGTCACAGAGTCACAGACCTGGGCGAGTCCCCCAGCGGGTGGATGCTCTTTCTGTTCCTATCCTGACAGGAGCCAGAATAGGGTTAACCAAGCTCTGGAAAATCTACTGAAATAACTCGAGAGTCCCGGTTCTTCTTTTTGTTAAGTGTTCTCAGCATGGACAGCAGGCCTTCCCGTGACTAGCTTGCGGTTGGCCGGCCGTCTCAGGGTTTCCCTGTTCAGTCACGCTTCCTATCCCGGCCCAGATAAGTTGTGCTGCTTCAGCCAGTCCCCTGTGTGTGTTCAGTCAGAGATGGTGCCTCAGGGACCCCACCCCGTTCCCTGACAGAGCTCAGGAGGGGCGGCTGGGGACATACAAGTAAGGCTGAGAGAGCCAGAGACTGATATACCTAAAGGCCGCCCCCCCCAGAACCAGCTTCCTGGCCCCCTGGCCCCTTCCATCCCCCTTTAAGCTTCAAGCTACTCATTACACTTCTCCTTTTCAGAACCACCCACGACAGCCTGGATTTATCTGGAAGTCTGTGTGTGTGTGTGTGTGTGTGTGTGTGTGTGTGTGTGTGTGTGAGAATGTTCAAGGGGGAAGGGACGCCTGAAGTGATTTCTGCTTCCAGAGCTCTGCGTGGAGTTTGTTAATCTGACTGGCTGATCGTTTTATGAAGTATTAAAACAGGAAGTGTTTTTCCAGAAATATTCCTTCCTAGCAGAATGTAGGTGGTGGGGTGGAGGCTCATGGCTTCATGGAGGGGGTGGGCCTTTGAGAGGCAAGCAGACTCAAAGCGCTGTCGCACCTGGGTCTCAATGATGGTTTCCGACTTGTCCCTCAGAATAACCATATTTACCTTAAGATAGTACTTGTGTTTTTGAGTCTGGTCTTGATTAATTGTTTGTGTTGATAGTTGATCAAGAACCGATACCATGGCCTTGGGTGTTGACCTCCACCTGGACAGTCTTTCTGGGGGTCTGGAAATGGTCAGGCCTTGGCCTGATGGAGACTTTTGTCAACTAGTGCTCGGAAACAAAATCAGTTAAAGGACTGCTTTTCCTCTCCTTTCAAGCACCAGGTATTGAAGTCTTCTGGTATTTTCCATAAGGCCAAACGTTTTCGAGCCTGAGAAGTCTTAAGCCAAGCTCTGTAGCTGTATTGGAGCCCCAGGTGGGCTCTCTGGGGAGAACGGCAGCTTTCCCGGCCTCTCAAGCCCTCTGGCTCCCCCCACAAATCCTAGCCCTGCGGTTGCATTTCAGAGGCATTTATCATCTGGCTTACTCTTTAGGGTGAGGTAATAGTTTAGAACTTAGTGTTTACAGAAACAGCCCCCATCTTTGCTGCCGGGAGGTGTGAGTGCAGGAAGTCTCCTTTCTCTAAGAGAAAATAGAAGCATCAGGGGACTCCTAACGGGACCAGGCTCCGTTCTGCAGCCCCAGCAAGCAGGCCGGGTATAGTTAAGACAAAGCACTTACCTCGAATGTGTCCTGGAACCAGCCAGAGTTGGTTTTCAGTGTTTCGGAAGCACAGATGTGCACACTTTCCCAACTCTGCCTACAAAGCTTTCAAGGGCCGATACCTACTTAGGGCCGGTACCTACTTAGGGCCGGTGCTTCCCAGCAGGACTGCCCTCAGGACTCAGGGCGGGCAGCCCGTGCTCTCTCCCTTACTTACACTCCTATCTCATTACCTGGAAAAAAACACCCAGCCCTGGGAGGCTGACAAACCGCACTCCCTGGAGGAGATAATGTATCTCGCAGGTGTGGAACTGAGCAGAGATGCAAGGCTTTGGAGCCACACAGTCCTAAGTCTCCCCACAGACTCCTTGAATAAGCCATGTCGCCTTTCCTGGCCTCTGTGTCCTCATCAGGGAAGTGGCACTAACAGGAAAATGGCACTTTTCTGGGAGGCTCATGGGATTAAGGAAGTGGGACCATGGCTGTAAAGCACCTGGCATGTGCCTGGAGCATAACATGTGCTTGATAACTGGATGGGATATGCAGTGCATAGGTTACCTTGGTTTTTTTTTTTTTTAAGATTTTATTGGGGAATTGGGGGATGGGAACAACACTGGGGAATCGGGGGGAGGGGAACAGAAAAGTTGCTGTTATTTTCTTCTTCAGTCTAGTTGTGGAGGACGTTGCTTCACTGGCCCAAGCTGGCACCATCATTGTGCTCTTCCTGGGAGAGGCAGATCAGTCACTGGCCTCTGGATGGCCGCTCACGGTGGCTGCTGGTTACACATGGTAGCCCATGGCAACCCACTGCAGCAGGGGACTGCAGCTTACGTCGCCGGCGACCCACAGCAGCTCAGCCCCAGGTCGAGCTGCCATTCACAATCTTAGCTGCAGAGGGCAGTATCACATATGTGGGATTCGAACTGGGGCCCTCTGGCATCCCAAGCCAGTTCTTAACCAACGCGCCATTCGGCCGGCCCTGTTTTTTTTCAATTGTGGTAAAATACACATAATGAATTTTATCATTTTTAAGGGTTCTCTTTTTTACTATTTTAACCATTTAAAAATGTACAGTTCAGTGGCCTTAAGTACGTTCATAGTGTTACACAGCCATCACCACTATCTAGTTACAGAATTTCTCATCATCCCCAACAGAAACCCCTTACCCATTAAGCAGTTATTTGCATTTTCCCCTCCTCGACCCCAGCAACCAGTTTCTGTCTCTGTGGGTTTGCCTATTGTGGATGTTTCATATGAATGGGACCATGTAAACGTGGCCTTCACTGTCTGGCTTCTTTCACGTGGCGTAATATTTTCAAGGTTCATCCATGTTGTAGCACGTATCAGGACTTCATTCCTTTTTATGACAGAATAATATTTCTATGAATCTTTCATTTGGAGAATTCACAAGGGGGTCCCAAATGGTACAGAATGTCACTCACTCTGCGCCAGGAGTCTTTCTGTCATCATTTCTGAATGGATAGTGTAGCAGTTTTGTGATAGGAGATGTGGCTGCAGGTGCCTGGAAGGGGCGGAGTAGGGGCTGGGCCGACCATGAGTCCTCCCAGGTGGAGCTTCGCTCTGGAGCAGCCGCCAGAGCCCCCCCAGGTCTGGACACAGCAGAAAGCTGGGCTCAGGCCGGGAAGGGCTGAGCTCGCAGATGACAGACAGGCTCCCTGTGTCTCCCCCAGATGCAGGAAAAGGCAAAGGAGATCTACACGACCTACCTGTCCAGCAAGGCCTCGTCCCAAGTCAATGTGGAGGGGCAGTCGCGGCTCACTGAGAAGATCCTGGAAGAGCCGCACCCCCTGATGTTCCAGAAGCTCCAGGACCAGGTAACCCGACTTCCTTACCTGGACCTTGACTTGAACCCGACACTTGTCCCCAGCCTGGCAGAGCGCAGTGAAGCCCTACATGTGAGACACCCTAGAAGCTGCCCCATCCAGCTGGGCGGGCTGAGGCCCGGTGCGAAGACATGGTTGGCGAAAGACAGAGGACTGGAATGCCAGGCTCACGCGTTCACCCACAGGAGGCCCCCTGAGGCCTGTTCACTCTTGGTCTACACACAGTTTGAACCAGCAGGGTTATCTGTCTTCTCAGCCCAGATCAGAAGGGAGGCTGGGGCTAGCTGAGGAACCCACCCTGAGAAAATAACATGAGATGATAACTGCTGAAGGTAGGAGTGGACAGAAAATTCCGGAAAGCAAGGACAAGGATTCAAAGTGGCAAGGAACATGGGGCCGTTTTTGTGCAAATACACAAACATCACCACTTACCGCTGGTGGCCCCGTACCATAACCTCGTTCATAATGAGGCCCCTGAGTCAAGAAAAAGGGCAACATCTGGCAGCATACACATCCCACTTAAAGTGGAAACATTAGGTTTAAAAAACAGACCTACCAGGGGCAAACTTCCATTTTCTGGCAAATTTCCTCATCAGGAATGTCAGTGGGAATAGGAAAAGGATGAAAGTGCGTTCCTGAGACTTCTTGTATACACGAATTTGCAGACGTGATGATCCACAGTGTGCTCTGTTCTTATGAGATGTCACACACACACTTGCAGACAGGGGAACACAGACAGATTTTGAACTTTTGCTGGCCCTGTCCTTTACTGAGGAAGTGAAGGCCTCACTTGGCCCATAGACCCGCTTTTCGCTTCATTCAGCAGTCCTCAGGTGTGAGCAAGCCCAGAGCCACCGGGAGGACTTGTTAAAGCGGATGCTGGGCCCCAGCCCCAGAGGTAACTGTCAAACTCGATGGTTCCCAGGCGACCTGAGACATTCCTTCCCAGCGCCGTCCCAGGTGGTGCGCATGCTGCAGGTCCTGTGACTACACTTTGAGAACCACTGGCCCACTGGATGGGTCGGCCTTTTCTTGACCACCTAGAGTGTGCACAGAGTCCAGAGCATGTCCCAGCATTCTGGAGGCCTCACCTTTGCTCAGCATCCAATAGAAAACAAATATACAGGTAGAATACAGATAGGAGAAGCAGTTTGAGATTGTTTTCCGATTGACACGGTGACAAGTACAAATTCCATATGAATTCTGAATCACATTTGGGTGTTGAAGGAACTCTGGTTAGCATGGGTGACTTGCTGAGGGCCTCCTGGAGGTGGTGATTTTGAGCCAATGGGAAGGATGCCATGGACATGGATTTGCGGAGGGAAAGGAAGTGGAATGTATGGTCAAAAGGCCATTTTCATGGCTGTGGCCTCATGGGATGTCTGCCCCACCTGGACGTCAGAGTCTTTTAAAATTTCCTATCATACTTTAACGTATAGCCAGGGTTGAGAACCTGTACAGAAGCCAATTGTATTCTAGGTATTTTCAATAATAACAATATCTACTATTCAGGGGTTGCCCTTCTGTGCCTGATGTCCACTTGGCATGTAGTATCTCATTTCATCTCCAGTGAATGTTATTCCCATTTTGATGATGAGAAAAGCAAGGTTCAGGGAGACCAAATGATTTGTTAGCACCAAGTTACACAGGAAGTAGGAAGTACTGGAGGCCGACTCACTCTCACCCACCTGCCTTCAAGGAGCGCGCTCTCTCTGCCACACTCACAGCCTGCACAGCTCTCCCTGCTCCTCCAAGCCCCGTGAGACCAGCTCAAGCAGAGGGATTGGAAAGGCCGTGTGAATACAGGCGGTTCCATTTCCCAGGATCCTAGACAGGCCAATAGCGCCCCACGTGGTGGGACCTCAGGCTCCCAGGGACACAGCGCTCCTGCGGTTAGGCCTGCGACACCTCTCACAATGGAGTGGACCTTGGTGTGTGAGCACACCTCACTAGATTCACACATCGGGAGGCTTAGCTGGTGTGGAGAGGAGGAAACTCAAGGGACAGAGGAAGATTTTTTTTGTTTTAAGTGACAAAGAAATATATTTTTAAAATCACTTTTGTCTACCTAACTATAAAAGTTATACGTGCTCAATCAAAGCAACTTGGGAAACCAAAGTATATAGACAAAATTCATAATTCCATGCCTGGAGTTGACCACTAAATAACATTTGATCTCAGGGCTTCCCATCATGTTTGTGCTAGAAATATGCATGCGCACATGCATATACCAAATGCAGCTCAATGCAGTTCAAACTGTTTAAAGAAAGCACTTTTTCACCCTGTTGTTAAAAGTTATTGATTTGAGAGAGAGAAAGTGGCACCATCTTCCTAAGGCATAATTGGGTGAAAACCGGTATTTGGAATCTGCGCCGATTCCACAGTGAGCCCCTGGGAAGGAGGGCCCCTGGGTCCTGTTTCTCTTCAGAAAACTCTGCCTCTCGAGGGCCCTGCTGGTCACCACCAAAAGGTGTGCTCAGCGCAGTCTGTGGTTTTCTGCTCCCAAAAGGCCCCACGAGGGCCCGGCTTTCCTAAGTGAAGGAGTTTGAAGCTGAGGGGAGCATATTTGGAACCACAAGACTTCACATAACTTTAAACCCCACCCCCCTCCCCGCCAGCAGCTTTGACTTCCTCGGTCCTGTGGGCTCTGTGGTGGAGCTGACTGAGCAGGCAGCTTCTGAGTTCTCAGAAGCCCCCACCAGGAAAACTCAAGGTGGCCTCAGTCCCACGTCAGAGCAGGGCAGCACTCTGCGCCCTGGAGGCAGCTGATAGGGCAGTGTGGACTTTGGGGGCACAGCCGGAGCCTAGAAGAATGGGGTCACCCTCCCTGAGCATCAGAGGAGGTGTGCTGACGTTCATGCTTCTTATTTAAAGGAGAGCGTTTTGGGTCTTCCTTCAGGTCCTGTATATTCTTGGTTTACACACAGTTATAACGGGCTCTGGGGTTTCAGTTCACAGTGGATTGGAAGTGCTGGCAGAGGCTGTGGAGTGAGTGGTGGCAAGAAGCAATAACTGTCAGTGAGGAGATAAAAAATGATACGAAACACAAACCACAGCACAGTAACCTGGAACCACCGAGCGTGGGGACCCACAGCCCACACACCGCACTGGGGGGCATCCCTGTACTACGGGATGGTGACATGGCTAGTGATGCTAATGACCCTAGAGCATCCAGCAACACTGAAGCATGCTCAGTGCATTCTGTGAAGGCTGCGTTAAGCATTTTAATAAACATTTCATCAAAATGATATCTTATGAGAAGTTTAGAATTCTGTAATTTGGAAAACTTGTGTGAGTGGATAGATGGTTCTCTGATTTACTTGGGCTCTGCTAACATGGTCCAGTTGTGTGCCAACACGTGCTGGCAAAGCCAGGTGAGGCAGGTCGTGCTGTGGGCATCTCTCTGGTGCTGTAACCTAGAGTCAGAGGTGGGCTGTTGGACAAATTTAAGTTGTGGGAAGCATGAAACAAGGAGCAGGTAACTTTATAAAGTGTTGTTTTCTTCAATTACGAAACTTTGCAGGGTCTTTTTTTTTTTTTTAATCCACTCCTGGGAGGTCTATTTCAGTTCTGGTTGGTTTGCTAGTGTGTAGATTTATTCTTTCATTCATTGCTTTATGCTACAAATATTGATGAAGGGCCTACTATGTCTCAAGGACTGTGCTAGGAATTGTGTTCGCAACAAGGAATTCTGCATCCATCCAACCATGTAGACAGAAAAAGATAAATGCTAAGAAGGGAATGAAAGAGTTGATGGGTTAAGAGCGACTGACAGGGGCTTACTTTGGGTCTAGTAGTCAGAGAGGCCTCCCTGAAGAGGTGATTGAGCTATGCGGCGAAGCAGTCACAAACCTCCAGTGCCCTGATGTTAAAAAGTTGCTCCCCGGTCATCACAACCGTATTTCCTTAGATCTGACTTTTCCTCTTTTTCTTTGACTTTAGAATTTTAGTAGCTGTGAAACTTTGGGCAAGATGCAATCCCTTTCTGTGAAGTATGGGCTATGATGAGGTGGTTGTGAGGATGAGATGCAGTCATATCTGTGAAGTGCTTGCTTAGTGCAGTGCCTGGTGTGCAGTCAGCTCTCTATAAGTGTTGGCTGTGTGCATCCTTTCAAATGTAACAGGAAGATGCACTTTAGCTTAATGCAGTGGTTCTTAATGGGGGAGAGGGGCTGTTGCACCCCAGGGGACATTGGGCAACGTCTGGAGACATTTCTGGTTGTCACAACTGGGGTGGGAGTGCTGCTGGCTACTGGTGGGTAGAAGCCATGATGCTGCTGAATATCCTATGGTGTACAGGTCAGCCCCACGTGACACAGAATTATCTGGTCCAAAATGTCAGTGGTACCAAGGTTGAGATACCCTGGCTTAATGTGACTTCTAAAAACATAGCAGAGTTCGTCAGACTTACCTTTGCTGAATCTCATCTCCCCACCTGAGAAGCAGCACATAATGTGTATGTCAGTTTTCTACACTATAGTGAATTCTGGGAAAACATTAAGACAGAATCTCTTCACAGTTTCCACAATGCTGTCGCGTGTCCATCTCATATGACTCTCAAGTAGCCTTGGGGAAGGTAGGACCTGGCACCTCAGTTCACTTGATGGGAAGGTGACATAACGAGCCCGAGGTCGCAGAGCTGGGAGGGGGAAACAGCTTGAGTCCAGGGCTTCTGGTTTAACTGGACTCTTCCTACCACTCCATCAGGCTGTGAGAGCCGTTCTTGATGCGAGGCGCTGACATTTGTTCTTATTGCCGTCCTTCTAGGCTGTGCCGCCATTTTCCTTTCATGGACTCTGGTACAGGCAGCATTGCCTTTGGCATTAAATGCCTCCTTCTTTCCCGCATTCATCTCCTATGCTCAGTCATGTTCTCCTGCACCTCCAGCCATAGCTGATTCTAGAACATTCCCAGCAGTTACCGAGGCTCTGAGAGTCAGCCACAACATGAAGGGATCAGCGTTGTCACAACAGCCTGACGTGCTTTCTTTG